CAAGGAAATCTCGGAAATCATGAGCTATCCCCTGAGCTTGAGACATAAAGCATGCAAAGAAACAAGTATGGCCCATGCACAGCAGATATTAGCAAAAACTCTCCCTGAGGAAGCAGAGACATTAGACCAACTAAAATAAGACTTCAAGTCAACTATCTTGCACATGCTCAAAAGCTCATGGAAACCATGGACAAAGAGGTACGGGGTACTCATAAAACAATGTCTAAACAAATACAGAATATCAAGGAAGAGATACAAATGATAAGAAGAAACCACACAGGAATAAAAAAAAAAAAAGAAGGAACCAAACAGAAAATGTAAAAGAATAACTGAAATGAAGACTTCACTACAGGGTGTCAACAGGAGATTTGAACAGGCAGAAGAAAAAATTCAGTAAAGTAGAAGACAAATCAATTTGGAATTCACTTGTCTAAGGAGGAAAAATAAGTGTGAAGAAAACTGAACAGAGCCTTGGGACACCATCAAATTGAAAAGAGCTGGGGACACCATTAAGCATACCAACATATGCATAATAAAATTTCCAGAAGGAGATAAAAAGAAACAGAAAGACCATGTAAAGAAATAATTATTGAAAAAGTCCCAAATTTGGTAAAGACAGGAATTCACAGAACTAAGAAGCTCAACAAACTCTACCTAGTACAAAAGCAAAGAGATCCACACCAAGGGACGTTATAATCAAACTGTTGGAAGAATAAGACAAAGAAAGAAACTCGAGAGAAGCAAGAGAGAAGATGCTCATCACATACAAAAGATCCTTAGTAAAATTAACCACCAATTTCTCAGCAGAAACCATGCAGGCCAGAAGTCAATGGGAGAATATATTTAAACTGCTACAAGAACAAAACTGTCATTCCAGATTTCTGTATCTAGCAAAATGACTCTTCAAAAATGAAGGCGACATTAAGACACGGACAAATAAAGACTAAGAGAGTTCACTGCTAGAAGACGTGCTCTACAATATATGCCAAAGGGAGTCCTTCAGAAAAAAATGTAAGGACACTGGACAGACTTATACAAATACACAAAGAACAACATCATAAAGGTGAAATACATAGGTAAATACAAAAGCCAGCATCGTTGTATTTTGGATTTTTATTTATTTGGGTTTGCTTTTCGTTTGTTTGTTTTGAGACAGGGTCTCTCTCTGTCACCCAGGCTGGAGTGCGATGGCACAATCAAGGCTTACAGCAACCTCCACCTCCCAGGCTTATGATCCCTCCCACCTCAGCCTCCTGGAGTGGCTGGGACTGCAGACATGCACCACCCTGCCTGGCTAATTTTTGCATGTTTTGTAGAGAGAAGGTTTCGCCATGATATTCAAACTGGTCTTGAACCCCTGGGCTCAAGCGATCCACCCACCTTGGCATCCTAAAGTGCTAGGCATAAGCCACTATACCCAGCCAGTATTTTTGGATTGTAACTCCTCTATTTTTTCTCTTGATGATTTAAAAAGCAAGAGATAATAGATCTTGTCTTGTAGATTATAAAACAGCAATTATGAGTCTATGTTAATGGGCATACAGTATATAAAGTTGTAATTTGTGACAGTGACATAAAAGAGGAGGAAGGGAGCTGTGTATGAGCCAAGGTTTTGACTACTATTGAGTCAAAACAGTGTTACCAATTCAAAGTATCAAATTCAAACTAGTGCTACCAATTCAAATTTGTAACACTGTCTACTTATAAGTGTTTATAATAATCACAATAATATTTTTAAGAATAACTTTGGAAAAAAAAAAAAGAAATACAACTCTTGTGCCAATATGGAGATAAATTAAGCGATGACACTGACTAGAAAGTATTAATTCACCTTGATTGTTAAACAGTGAGAATCGAAAACATAATCAATAGAATTAGATAATCAAATGGATATAGTGAGTTAGAGAAAAAGAGAAGAAATGTCCAGCATGGGCCATCAGATGGCTAATGGTGCCATTACCCAAAACAGAACAAGTTAACACAAGCATAATCAATTCCATACTAAATATATTAAGCTTGAAATGACTTTGGATGATCCAAGAGAAGACAGGCAACAGGCAATTAGAAATGGAGAATGAAAACTCAGAAAAGAGAATGAGACGGGAGACAAAGTATTTAAAGGTGTCAAACTACAGATGGGAAATGAAGCCACGGAAATGGTTTACTTCTCCACCATCATAACATAGAGTCATAAAAGAAAGCTAAAGGACAGAAACAGAAAGAAGACCTAACAGGGGCAACCGAAAAGAAACTGGGTAGGGTCCTACAAGAGACTGATGTCTCTGAATCCAGCAAAAGGAATGGCCTTTCCTCTTCTTTCCCAGCATGCTCTGTTAGCGCTCAACTAAGATAAGAACTAAGTAGCTTCTATTAGCTCAGATAGTAAGGAAGTCATTAGTGACCACAGTAAAACGAGCTGCTATGGAGACTAAGTTGGATTAGAGAACTAGGAGTTGAACAGGAAGCAGTTGTCAGTGAAGGAAAGAAATGGGTTAGGAGGCTGGGCACGGTGGCTCACAGCTGTAACCCCAGCACTTTGAGAGGCCAAGGTGGCCAGCTCACCTGAGGTCAGGAGTTCAAGACCAGCCTGGCTAATATGGTGAAACACTACCTCTACTAAAGATACAAAGATTAGCCTGACATGATGTGCACACCTGGAGTCTCAGCTACTTGGGAGGCCGAGGCAAGAGAATCACTTGAACCCAGGAGGCAGAGGTTGCAGTGAGCTGAGACTGTGCCACTGCACTCCAGCCTGGGTGACAGAGTGAGACTGCATCTCAAAAAAAAAAAAGGAAAAAGGAAAAGAAATGGGTTAGTAGCAAGCACCACCACCCCCCAAAAAAGAGAGATAGATTGTGCAATTTAGCCATTTCCTTTCACTTAAACTATTCCCATTTTCGTAAAAGACTCAATTCCACATATAATGGGCTGTAACAAGCTGCAACACAACATTCACGGCCTGTACTTCCAGCAGTATAAACTGAGAAACCTCCAACAACAAGAACCCAGGCAGACACCATAGCATAAAACTAGTCACAGACAGAAAAAAAGAAAACAATGCAGGAGAGCAAGATAAACAGAAAGCACAAAAGGACAGAACAAAAATAAATTTTTATCAATAATGTATCACCATTTATTGATAATCACTATAAATAAGACAGGTGAAACTAACCAGTTAAAAAAGAAAAATTGTCCAAATGGACGTTTACAAATCCAGCAATTCCTCACAGTGTTTGTTCAAGAGAAACAAAACCATTTGTCTAACAAATTTTTATACACTAACGTTCACAGCAGCTTTATTCATAATCCAGTTAAAACCTGCCCATAACTCAAATGCTCACCTAGAGGTGAGTAGACAAATGAACTACGGCATAACCACACAACAGACCATACTACCCAGCAATGAAAAGGAACACGCTACTCATTTACACCATGATGTGGATGAATCTCAAACCATTTTACAAAGGAATCCCTGCACAAAGATGGATACTACATGATTCTATTTTTATGCAAGCCTAGAAAAAGCAAACTAATATATACATTGTCAGAAAGCAAATCAGTCTGCCTGGGGCTGGGTGAAGTAAGATAAACTGACTGTAAACCGTTACAAGTAAACCTCTAGGAGTGATTAAATGTTCTATATCTCAACTGCGGTAATCCTTACACAGTATACATATTTAGCAAAATCCATTCAGCTGTATATTTTAAATACGTACATTTTATTGTATGTAAATTAAACTTCAAAAAACTAAAAAATTAAGCCAGCCAAACTCTTGTTTATAAAAACAACATACTTAAGTACAAAGCTGAGGGTAAATAAAGGAAGAGGGGAAAAAAAATCCTGGTAAGCATTAACAACCAAAGGAAATCTAGTATAGCTATATTAATATAGGACAACACAGCCCTTAAGCCAAAAGGCATTATTATGGATAAAGAGGACCACAGAATAATATAAAATAAACATGTAATCAGTAACAGAGAATAGATTTTGCTGTGGTTTTATTACTCAACAATAAAGATACATACGCTTTTCATGTACATACACTAGATTTTTTTTAAACTGGCTACACACCATACTAGGCACACAGTACTTCTCAATAAATTTCAAGTAATTTGTTTTATAAAGTCCACGTTCTCTAACAGTAATACAATTTGGGTGAAAATGAATAACAAAGACATAACCCCCCAAATCTAAAATAAGCACAATACTAAAAATAAGTAATTTTCTAATCCACGAGTTACACAGAAGTCACATTACTATTAGAAATGTTTGTAAGTGAATCATAATTAACATGTTACTAAAGAAAATCTACGGAATGCTGCTAAGAAAGTACTTAGAGGTACATTTTAATTAATTATAGAACACTGAATATCAGTGAGCTACCAATCCAACTTAAAACAGAAAAAGAATAGAGGATTGGGCACAGTGGCTCACACCCGTAATTCCAGCACTTTGGGAGGCCGACGCAGGCGGATCACCTGAGGTCAGGAGTTCGAGACCAGCCTGGCCAACATTGTGAAACTCCATCTCTACTAAAAATACAAAAATCATCTGCGCATGGTGGCAGGCGCCTGTAGTCCCACCTACTCGGGAAGCTGAGGCAGTAGAATCACTTGAATCTGGGAGGCGGAAGTTGCAGTTAGCCAAAATCATGCCACTGCACTCTAGCGTGGGCAACAGGAATGAAACTCCAAATCAAAAAGAAAAAAAAAAGAAGAAGAAAGAAAAATAGAAAAAAAATTACTGAAATACAAAACAAAGATATAATAAAGAGCTCCACAAGCTAAAATCTTGTTCTTAAAAGACTAAAAAATTAACAACCTCCTGACAAAATTGGTCAAGAAAACAACCAAATGCATAAACTTATAATATTCGAAATAAAAAGGAGATTAATCACCAAGACAGTAGAGCTCTTAGGAAAGTCCGAGTGTGAGCTGGGCAGATGGATGACCACAACTCATTACATATTCGATCACCATGACCCTTCATTTTTACTTACCGCCAACAGAAGACACATTTATTAGCACACGCCAAGCTCGGAGTGGTTTCCATGCAGCGATGGCTCTCAATTCCATAGAATGTGTGTTTGTAACAACCTCCTCTCCCCCGGAGCATCGACTATGACAGGTAAACAAATCACAATTTGAATAAAATCGTCAAAGCACAGAAACAAACCACCAAGGCATCATTTTTAAGAAGATACCATGTGTTTCATAACCACGAATACTCCTACTGGTATCTGCATGATGCAGGAAATTAGCATTAGACCATTTTAGGGTTTTGGCAGTGCTCTGGGTTTTTATTAAAGCCCAGTGAAATAAACCTATGATTCATTAACTCTGAAAACTCTATAGGGAGAAACACTAACGCTTTCATTTTAAAATCCATCAGACTCCTTCAAATAATATTAGTACAATAATATACAAGGCTAGGAAACAGATAAAACAGACACCTAAAACATGGGGGCGGTCTGCATATGTAAGCATATCCCTGCTCTGAATAAAGGAGGATAGGTAAGGGAATGCATACAGGAGTGGGTTTTTTTTGTTTTGTTTTTGTTTGCTGAGACAAGATCTTGCTCTGTTCCTCAGGCTGAAGGGCAGTGTTGCAATCATAGCTCACTGCAACCTCCGACTCCTGGACTAAAGCAATCCTCCCACCTCAACTTCTCACGTAGCTGGGACTATGGGTGTGAGCCACCATGCCTGGTTATTTTTTAATTTTTTGTAGAGATGAGGTCTCACAACATTGTCCAGGCTGGTCTCAAACTCCTGGCTTCAAGCGATTTCCTCCCACCTCAGTCTCCCCAAATGCTAAGATTATAGTTGTGAGTGAGCCATTGTGCCCAGCCCTGAAGTATAAATATTTGAGACATTATGGGGGCAAGTCACAGGTATAAGAAATAGATTATTACCGAAAAGATCACCATTTGATGCAAGGGATAAAACCATATATCACATGAGACACATAAATTGGTACCTGTAGTAAGAAGGTAATCTAAAGAAGTATCTAGATCAACTAGGGCTGGAATCAAGATAATGTCAAGCTTAAAAGGTAAAATCAGATCTCTGGGTAAGACGAGCTTGAATTCAGTGCAAGTGAAAGCAGTGAAGCCTGGGAGAAGGTGATGCAGGCAGAGAATGATGACTTGCTCCTAAGATCAGTGGAAGGGTAGGTTACTAAAGAAGTAAAATCAATGTCATTCCCCACTGAGGGGCAGAACACAGGAAGTCACCCAAAATAACTGATTTTGAGCCAAGTGACTGAAATAATATGGAATTAACAATACCAACAATGAACAAGGAGATGGAAAGTGGAGACACGAGTGAGTAGCCTTTACACATATATGGGGGGTGTGTGTATGTATCAGTGGACTACTTTTTTTGACGGAGTTTCGCTCTGTTGCCCAGGCTAGAGTGGAGTGGAGATTGAAGTGGTGCAATCTCAACTAACTGGACCCTCTGCCTCCCGGTTCAAGGATCCTCCTGCCTCAGCCTCTCAAGTAGCTGGGATTACAGGCATGCGCCACCACGCCTGGCTAATATTTGTATTTTTAGTAGATACAGGCTTTCACCATATTGGTCAGGCTGGTTCCGAACTCACGACCTCAAGTGATCCACCCACCTTAACCTCCCAAAGTACTGTTATTAATATAAGCCTGTCCACAATGAAAGAACATTCCATAAAATTTTCCTAGCTTAATTACTGCCAGTTGACCATGAAGCCTTTTAACTAATTTTTGTTCTAATTTTTTTTTAAAAAGTTTCCCTGTCCATCTCAGTACTTGCATCTGAAAAAAAAGGAGTAAAGGGAAAATATTGTTCCAGATACCTGTGCCTACAAACCTCTTCCAAGTTCCTAATAAAATGTACAAGGCAGCAAACAAAGCATTCAAATCTTGCAAACAGCACTGAAAACCAAAATGTCCAACAAATGCCAGAATCACAGAGTAATTTCCACAAAATCTCATGCCACTAGAGAAACAAAGTTGAAGAACTGTACACTTCATTCACTGTTAAGAAGTTAACACGCTTGGTTATAAACTGCCCTGTGCTTCCCCCTCCCACTCAGGTTGAAGTCATAACCCCCAATGCAACATTCGGATACAGGGCCTTTAATGAGGTAACCAAGGTTAAGTGAGGTCAGGTGTGTGGGGCGCGAATCTGCCAGAATTACTGTCCTATGAAGAGGAAGAGAGACCAGAGATCTCTCTGCACGTGCACAGAGGACCAATCATGTAAGGACGAGAGCCCATAAGTTGGAAGAGTGTCCAGGAGCAGTGGCTCATGCCTGTAATCCCAGCATTTTGGGAGGCCAAGGCAGGCAGATCACGAGGTCAGATCAAGACCATCCTGGCCAACATGGTAAAACCCCATCTCTACTAAAATACAAAAAATTAGCCGGGCATGGTGGTGTGCACTTGTAGTTCCAGCTACTCAGGAGGCTGAGGCAGAATCACTTGAACCCGGAAGGCGTAGGTTGCAGTGAGCTGAGATCATGCCACTGCACTACAGCCTGACCACAGAGCAAGACACCATCTCAAAAAAAAAAAAAAAAAAAAGATGGAAGAGCAACCAAGGAAGCTTCGCCAAAGGACCAGTGAGAGCTTCCCAGAGGTGTGCAGTCCAAATCCAATACTGAAAGACTAAAAGGATTTTTCAACAAAACTCTGTAAGACAACAGCATAGAAGCATGTGAGAAGAGGATGGAATGTTTTTCATTTAAAAAAATTATTTCTCCAAATGTTGACTTAAGTCTGTGATCCATTTTGAATTGATTTTTATATAAGGCGTGAGGTTTAAGACAACTCTTTTTTGAGATTGGCTGCGGGGAGCAGCACTTGGGTCTTTTATCTTTTTCTGTGGGTTTGGCCTATGGATATCTAATCACTCCCGAAAATTCCACCATGGAACTTGATACAGTTTGGCTGTGTCCCCACCCAAATCTCAACTTGAATTGTATCTCCTAGAATTCCCACATATTGTGGGAGGGACCCAAGGAGGGAACTGAAACATGGGGGCCAGTCTTTCCTGTACTAGTCTCATGATAGGGAACAAGTCTCACAAGATCCGACGGGTTTCTCAAGGTGTTTACACTTTTGCTTCTTCATTTTCTCTTGCCACCACACCATGTAAAAAGTGCCTTTTGCCTCCTGCCATGATTCTGAGGCCTCCCAGCCATGTGGAACTGAAAGTGCAATTGAACCCCTTTTCCTTCCCAGTCTCAGGTATGTCTTTATCAGCAGCATGAAAATGGAATAATACAGAACTGATTTGCATTTTTGTAAAAAACCAGTTAAACCTATTTTGTCAGTCTACTTCTGGGGTCTCTAGTCTTTGATTTGTAAGTCTGTCCCTCTGCCAGCAGTACCCCCCTGCCTTGATAACTGTGACAACATAGTAAGCTACAAGATCAGAGTGAACTATTCCTCCCAGCCCTTTCTTCTTCGTCAACATTGGTTTTGCTATTCTAGGGTCTGTGACTTTCAAGTCTTAGATTAAGTTTGCCTATTTCTATAAAAATCTTACTGGTATTTTTATAAGAATTACATTCAATCTATAGAATCAATTTGGGGAGAACTGACAGTTTATTATACTGAGTTTTCTAATCCACAAACATGGCATGTCTATTTGTTTAGATTTTCATTTCTTTCATCAGTATTTTTTAAATCTTCAGCATGCAGTCTTGTGCATGTTTTGTTAAATGTAAATGTACACATATTACTTTCACTGGAGTGATTGTAAATGAACTTTTTAATTTTGGTTTTCATATGTTCACTGTTAATATACAGAATAAAACTGATTTTTGTGCTTTGATATTGTGTCCTCTGACCTTGCTGAACTCAAGTTCTAGGAAATGTTTTTTCTGTCATATCCTTGAGCTTTTCTATGTAACAATCATGTCATCTGCAAAACAAGACAGCTTTATTTCTGCCTTTGCAACCTGTAAGCATTTTCTTTCTGTTGCCTCCTTCCAGTGGCTAGAATTTACAGTACTATGTCAAACAGGAGTGGTGAACACAGACATACTTGTCCTGTTCCCAATCTTATGAGAAAAGCATTTACTTTCATATTGGGTATGATGTTAGCTGTAGGAATTTTGTAGATACTCTTTCTTTATTAAGTTAGTATTCTTCTATTTCCAACTTGCTAAGAGTTTTTGATAATTAAGGGTTAGACTCTGCCAAATGTTTTTTCAGAATCAATTGATATGACTGACTGATTTTTTTTCTTCTTAACATGTTTGATATGATGGATTGCTTTGGTTTTTGAATGTTGAACCTGCCTTGCATACCTAGGAAAAATCTACTTGGTTATGGTATATAATTCTTTTTATACTTGGCTGAATTCTATTTGCTAATATGGTGAGGGTTTTGTTTTTTTTTTTTTTTCCTGAGACAGTCTTGCTCTGTTATCCAGGCTGGAGTGCAGTGGTGCAACCTCTGCCTCTTGAGTTCAAGCAATTCTCCTGCCTCAGACTCCTGAGTAGCTGGGATTACAAGCATACGCCACCATGCCTGGCTAATTTTTGTAATTTTAGTAGAGACAAGGTTTCACCATGTTAGCCAGGCTGGTCTTGAACTCCTGACCTCATGATCCACTCACCTCAGCCTCCCAAAGGGCTGGCATTACAGGTGTGAGCCATCGGGTCTGGCCTCTATTTGCTAATATCTTACTGAGAATTTCTACATCTAAATTTCTGAGAGATTGGTCTTTAGTTCTCTTTTACTGCATGGTCTTTGTCAGGTTTTATCGGGTTAATGTTGGCCTCAAAAAATAAGTTAAGAAATGTTTCCCACCTCATGTATTTCAGGGAAGATATGAAGTAAAACTGGAATTAATCTTTATTAAATATTTGGTAGAATTCTTCAGAAAAAACACTGAAACCTATTATTTCACTTTGGGGAGCCTTTTAATTACAAAATGAGTTTCTTTGATAATTTAGAGGATTATTCAGATTATGTATTTTGGTTGAGTTTTGATAAACTGTGGTTTTTGAGGAACACATGCATTTCACCTAAGTTGCCAAATTTATCAACATAAAATTGTAGCACTCCCTTATTATCATTTCAATGGCTACAGGACCTGTAATAATATATGTTTCATTCCTGATATTGA